AGAGAGAGAGAGAGAGAGAGAGAGCGAGCGAGAGAGCGAGAGAGACTGGCTCCAAATAGCCAGAAGTCAAACAGACATAAGCAAACAGTGCCACAGCCAACTATGTGAAGCCTCACTACTTGAATGACGGACTCAGTCTCAGGAAGAAACAGGCATAAACTTTCACACAGACTCAATGAAACACACTGCCCTCATTGACCTCACTGCAGGCAGTAGGACTGTGTTAATGCAGTCTTTGCGAGGCTTTTTCAACACATTCCTACTAGTCAAAGTAAAAGAAAGAGTATATTGGAAAAACAGATACTGATACTCTATTCAAGCTAAGACTTGAGCTGGAAGTTTTGTCTGTGCTCAACAATTAAACCATGACAGTTTTCCAAAAGAGTGCATTTCACAGGAAAACGATGTCAGTAGCAAATGCTACCGTACTTATTGAAAACATCCAGTCATCGGGTCAGAAAGATTGTTTAATATTTTTGAAAGAAGTCTCTGATGCTCACCAAAGCTGCATTTACTTGATCAAAAATATAGTAAAATAGTATTAAAGTTAAATATTATTACTATTTAAAATAGCTGTTTGTTTTCAAATTGAATATATTTTAAATGTAATTTACTCCTGTTGTAGAAAAACTGAATTTTCAGCAGCCATTATTCCAGTCAGTGTCACATAATTCACACGAGATTCAGAAAATAATCCTATATATAACCATTCTATACACAATTTTTTGACCTCTGCTATACAAAATCCATCATGCATTTGGAGCACATTTAACTTAAAGGGAGAGTTCACCTGCAATACTTTATGTGCACAAAGAAAACAATGGAAGAGAAGAAATTGTTGCGTTAAGTCGTTTTCTTTGCACACAAAAAATATTCTCGTAGCTTCATAACATTAAGTTTGAACCACTGATGTCACATGGACTATTTTAACAATGTCCTTACATCCTTTCTGGGCCTTGAACGTGTCAGTTGCATTGTTGTCTATGCAGGGTCAGAAAGCTTTCAGATTTCTTCAAAAATATCTTAATTTGTGTTGCGAAGATGAACGAAGGTCTTATGGGTTTGGAACGACATGAGGGTGAGTAATTTACTGACAGAATTTTCATTTTAGGGTGAACTATCCCTTTAATGATGCATTTAAACTATAAGACAAGGGACTTTTGTTAAGAAAGCAAATGGCATCAACTGTTTTCATGTTGAATTTAACAAAGAATTCAGGTCTATTCCTAAAAATATGTTAGGACCTTTCTCTGAAACTACTTATTCAGCTTTGTTCTGGCAGGTGACTGGACTAAAGAAGACTGAAGCCCATGTGTTATTCCGACAACTTTTCTGCATTCAATCAAATTTCCAGACAAAGTGTTGCAGGCAAACACTTAACTTGACCATAAAAAGAATCTGGTTTGCATTACTGCAGTCCTTGAAATACTGTCTGCATTTACGCTACCTGAAATTGTACCAATTTGTAATGTTCAGCTCTTTCTGATTCATTGCCACACCACAGAGGGTCTGGTGGAGCAGGCACACACTGTGCTGATGAAAGAAAACGGTGACCAATCTCCAATTATACTTAATTTGGTGTAAATATCGGTTTCAATTACATTGGCACCACTCATAAGACTCCGTCTGTGAGCCGCACACTCCAATCTCCTCGTTTCGTGCAAATGAATGTATTCAATCATCATTTAAGGTTGGGACAAAGAGCATTTTTTAGTGCATAAACACCCTGGTTCAAGCCCATAGTAAGATAAACAAGGCCCAGGTTGAGACTATTTGAATGTTTCAGAGCAAACATTGTGCATATGTGTGCAAATTCATAATATATATATATAGACAGTCGGTGACAAAAAGAGTAATGCATGTGTGTGTGTGTTTTGAGTTTATACCTGTCCTGGTTGTTCGCAGGGCGTCTGATACTCTGCCTGCTGACACACCTCCTTCACCTTCTTGTATTTGGGTAAGCTGTTAGAGTGTTGTGTGTTCAAGTTGCCTCCTGACTCATCTTTCTTGCGCAGGATTTTGCTGGAATGACAAATGTGCTTTGGTGAGTTGCTAGGCCACGTTTTAAAGTTGGCAGCCTCACTGAAGTTTCGGAAGCCTGGGAAGCATAGCCGTCCCACCCAGGTCAGCATCTCATAACTAATGTGTGGAGAGCATTATAGCTTTCACAGCACACAAAAACAATGTGACCCAGATCCTCCATGATATATCTGTCCTCTGGAGATATTTGTCCTAGTTATTTAGTTGTAGTTAGTTCTATTAGATTGCATTTAAGACATTTTTTGATGTTTGTTAAAGGAATAGTTCACTCAAAAATGAAAATGTGCTCAATTTACCAGTGGCGGCTCGTCGGGGGGAGGCAGGGGAGGCACAGCTTCCCCATAATTTTGAGGTGAAAATGGGAGGAGGACGATTTAATGTTAATACAATTCACAATTCATTTCAGTTCATGTCTCAGAACGTGTATTCTTTTGTTTGTAATTTCACAGTTGTAATACCATAACGTGAAAGCGCCGCTTTTAACACAGACTTTTAAGAAGGGATGGATGTTTGCTTCAAGTGATAGGTCAGGTTAGTGAAATTATATTATCTTGCTGTATGTGTGTCGTTTTCTTTACGTTTTCTGACTAAAAGCAACCAAAAAGCCATTTTAAAGTGCTTAAGCAAATTATAATAATAATCGGCAGGGATCCCAGACCAATACAATTAGTGTGCCTCCTCTATTTTAAAACCCACCAGCCGCCACTGCAATTTACTCAACCTCAGGCCATCCAAGATGTGGTTTGTTTCTTCGTCAGAACAGATTTGGAGAAATGTAACATTTCATCACTTGCTCACCAATGGATCCTCTACAGTGAATGGGTGCCGCCAGAATGAGAGTCCAAACAGCTAATAAAAATGTCACACCAATTTACAAGTAATCCACATGACTCCAATCTATCAATTGACATCTTTTTTTTTTTACTGTTTTTGCTTGTAAACAGTGCTTGATCTGTGCATATTCCTCTCCTGATTCAGATGAGATGACCCTTTAAGAGAGAAAGTAATATTATATGGAAAAAGTATTCATATTTTAGCCAGAAGCAACAGTTTGAAGTTAAACAAACATGTAACTTGTTGATTATTGATGTTTTTTTTTTTTTATCAGCTGTTTGGACTCTCATTCTGACGGCACCCATTCACTGCAGTGGATCCACTGATGAACAAGTGATGTAATGCTAAATTTCTACAGCATAATCTACATATTGGATAGCCTGAGGGTGAGTACATTTCCACAGATTGTCACAAGAATTATTCCTTTAAACCCAGCCAATCCATAAAAACAAATCATAAAAAGTAGAATTAGGATTCTGTCGACTGAGAGAACCCAAAAATCTAGTAATTCCGGTTGCCTAGCCAAGATATGAACACAGTCAATCAAAAAGAATGAATTAAAGTATTTTATGAAATTCAATAATACATATTTAATTGTTCATGCTCATTTAGCCTATTTTTACATTTAAAAATGAGCTTCACCATCATCTAACACATTTAAAACTTTTCATTTTTTTAAATATAAAGAGCTGGAACGCCATTACAGATCATTCCGGCCCAAATTAACCTCCGCCTGTAAGGGAAATGAAGTGTTCTGCATGATTTCACCACAGCTGATTAATGAAGTAGTTGCTAATCTGACTTCTCACAAAATGGGAGCTGTCGTAACCGTGCAAAACAGGTTGAATTAATGGCATTTTGGTATAAACACGCCTCGAGTCCGCGGTCTGGCTTTATACACAACAGTTACTGAGTCACGGAAGCAACAGCCGGCACTGATCAGCGATGTGCTTTATGATTGCGCCATTCCTGAAAAACCTTCTTTCACATAGCCTTAAGCAGAAACAAAGCACGGCTTGACTGTGGGAGCGGCAATATATGTCATTACGCACATACGCAGACTGACAGCTCCCTGCGAGTGACACGAGGAATGTTAGACCGTGGTTGTGCCCACGGCCACATATACAATATATAGAGATCAGCGCAAGTTAAATAGGGTAACCTCAATACCATACCCACATTCCTCACATCAGTCACAGAAATCAAAAGAAAACGCTACGCACACGTATCAAGTTTGAGTCTGATACCACAGGTAATATCATATATTTCCCCTGGGGAAGGATTTTTTTCTGTCGTGAGTGTCCTAGGTTACTGAAACATATCCGATAATGAGAGTCTAAAGCTGTCATCTGAATAGCTGAACTCCTGAGAACATATTTGATCGAAGAATGTCTGATCTTACCGTGACGCTGTAGTGATTGGTCATTTGGATAAATAAGAATATTTTTGTGATATTTTCCCACATTTTTAGGTAAACTTGAACTGAGACAAGTCAAGGAAGAAGGATGTTTGTGCAATGGAATCCTAAAATCATAACATGTACTTCTGATCTTATCTTTTGGCGATTTTACAGTGAAATCCTGGAATGGTTTGAATTGCATGCGGTGAGCCTCCCGTACAAAATAAATCAATTCAAATTTATTTCGCACATTCTGCAGTATGATTGAGAAGAGAGGGGATAATGTTTGCCTTACCCCCGCTCCACGAGGAATGTGTCCCTCCAGACTTTGGGTTTCCGGTTGGGTTTGAATCTGCAATACGAAAACACAAATATTTTATTTCTCTCTCAGTCTTTGTGTCATTTGCATACCATAAGCAGATGTTTAGCTTGGCCAGAATTATGACACCTTAATCTGCTCAACATCTCCTGCCATCATGAGTGGCAGCGACCCCAGAGCACTTCCAGCATTCTTTACCTGCCAGAAACCCCTTATAAATGAACTCCAAATGTTCACAAACCGTTAAACTCAGCTTAATTGAATTAAAAGCAATAAACAGATACTCCACAACCATTTATTACACTGGGAATGTGTTCATGGAGGTGATTTAGCGCACCGATTCCCAGTCTTTTCCTGCTCCAGAAGCTTCAGGATAGATTTGCCGTCCATATCAGGTGGAGTGTCCAGACCAGCTATGTCCAGAATTGTGGGTGCGAGATCAATGTTTAGCACAAGATGGTTGTTCCTGTGAGGTAATACAAAAAATTATATATGTTATGTTATATATGTCATGTTATGTGTTATATGTTATGTTATGTTACATGTTATATTGATAAAAACTAATATTGTTGTAAAGTTTTTGTCCCTAAGCTGCGCCCTCAAAGCAGTGCCACACCCCCCTTAGCCTGTTCAGTTCCCTGTTAGCCCCAAGCTCCACCCACCCAATCTCAAGCCAATTAGAGCCATCTCACAGACTTTATTAGCTGCACCTGTGTCCACAGCCTACGCTTTGTTGCATGTGGTTGTACTGTGCAGAGGACTGAGTTTTACTCCTTTCATTCTGTTTTTCCTGCGTGTGCGTAATTGACCATGTAAGTGCCTTTGTTTGATGCTTAAATATTATTTTGTATGACTTAAGTTTGGCCTAAATGTGTTTGTTCATGCTTGCTCTAGTTCCTGTTTAGGCATGTGCTTTAGTTATTTAATGTGCAGTTGATGGAACATTGTGGTTGCCGTGTACCTTATGTAGCACTGTTAATGGTAAACTAAAACTTTGTATAGTCCTATTGAATCATCTGAAGGTCGACCAGGCGAGAAGACTTGCATTGGCTTATGTTTATGCCCCAAATCCTTACACTCAAGCTATACGGGCCCTAGATGAGCGTTATGGTCAACCTGGACAACTTGCTTTGAAGGAGCTCCAAGCTATAATGGAGATGCCTGCTATCTGCATAGGCGATGGTAGAGGCCTGGACCAATTTTCCCTGAGAGTTCAGGCATTAGTGGGCCTCCTCCAGTCCATGGGCTCTGAAGGTCTCGCGGAACTTACCTGTGGTTCACATGTTGAGCGGCTTCTAGAGAAGCTTCCCCATGAGCAGTTCTGCCAGTTTAAGAGATGTATGAGTTCGAGGAGATCAGGGCCCCTTTCCTATAACCTCCTAGATTTTTCCAACTGGCTACAACAAGAAGCCCGTTGTCAGCCCAGAAGGGAAAGAACACCACAGCCCATACGGCAGAGGCCTCCACCTTCTCACCCAATAAAAAGTGCAACCATACTTCATGGTGCCAAAACTGCCCCTCATATGACCACCTCTAAAGCCCGAGTTGCCCCACTTAAAGTTAGTCAGCCTCTCCCCAACACCTTATCTGAACGCTGTCCAGTGTGCGCCTATTGCAACTCTACCGAACATCATGTCAGTAAATGTGGTGATTTCCTCCAGCTCACCAAAGACCAGAGAACTGACTGGATCAAGGAACAGAGACGTTGTTGGCGATGTGCACGAGATCACTTTGCAACTCAATGTGACCTGAAGGGACGCTGCAGCCAGTGCAACGGGAAACACCTACACATACTATGCAACATTAACCAAAGGCAAGTGCAGAATCTATATCTCGACCATCCTAGTGATTGCAATAAAGTACTACTGAAGGTAGTTGAAGTGACCCTGCAAAATGGAAACAAGTCCTTAGACACTTATGCCTTACTGGATGATGGGTCTGAAAGAACAATCCTGCTGCACCCTGCTGCCCAAACACTTCAGTTAAGAGGAAAATCTGAGAGCCTGAAGCTGAGAACTGTAAGACAGGATGTTCAGACTCTCAATGGAGCTACGGTGTCCTTCACCCTCATTCCTAAAGCGCATCCAACTAAGTCCTATGTCATCAGTCAAGCTTTCACTGCTGACGAGTTATCCTTGTCCGAACATTCTCACCCTGTGAAATCTCTCCAGCGACGCTACCCTCATCTCCGTCAGCTTCCTCTCAAACAACTTAATAAAGTCACACCCCTACTCCTCTTGGGGGCCGATCAAACACACCTGATTACCCCAACACAACCAGTGAAATTGGGCCCTCCTGGAGCCCCTGTTGCAATTAAAACCCGACTCGGCTGGACACTGCAGGGTCCTGCAAGGGATCTCACCAACTCTTCCTCCACTCATTTTCACTATATCTCCTTTAAATGCCCACCTGATGACATCGACCACAATGTACAGAAGCTGTGGCAGCTGGATGCACTACCTCAGAGAAGCATGAAAGCAGTGGTTCGATCTAAACAGGATCAAGAGGCAATGCACCAGCTTGAGACCAAAACCATCAGAACACCTGTTGATGGCATCCTCCGATATGCCGCACCTCTCCTGTGGGTAGAACCCTGGCCCCCTCTGAAGGCCCCCAAGGAGGCGGTAATGTCCCGTCTTCGCAGCTTTGAAAGGCGACTCCTTCAAAACCCACACCAAGCGAAAACCTATAACAGAGAGATCCGGAAACTAATTGATGCTGGATATGTCAACAAGTTGTCCTCATCTGGAGTGAAGGATGTCCCTGAATCCTGGTACATACCCCACCACATTGTGCATCACAACAGTAAGGACCGCATTGTGTTTGATTGTTCCTTCTCCTACCGAAATCAATGTCTGAATTCACAGTTACTTCCTGGACCAATCCTTGGGCCTTCCCTACTTGGAGTTCTGCTCCGTTTTAGGCAGCATAAAACTGCAATCAGTGGAGACATTAAATCAATGTTTCACCAGGTGCGCCTGTTATCTCAGGATAAACCTCTCCTGCGATTCCTCTGGCGTGACCTGGACTGCAAAGCGCCTCCAACTGTGTATGAATGGCAAGTTCTCCCCTTTGGCACGACCTCAAGCCCTTGCTGTGCTATTTACAATTTAATTTTTCTTCATTTATTTTTTTAAACAATTACCGTATTCAATTTTAATATATAAATATACAAATATAAATAAAGTGTGGAAAGAAATTATATCGTGCAAAATGTGCATTTCAAATACAAGTTGATTTTACCTTGCCCCTGGTTCCACATTAGGACCTCTGACAAAAAACGGTACTCTGATGTCAAAATCATAGGGCATAGACTTCCCCTTGACCAGGCCAAACTGGCCAATGTGGTAACCATGATCAGCTGTGTAAATGATATATGTATTCTCCAGCTCCCCGGTGTCCACCAGGACATTATATATCTGTAAAGTAAACACACATTTCCTTTCCGTTTATGTACAAAGTCGGTTAAATATCCAGAATTTGGAGCAAGAAAGTCTAAACTGCTGACCTTTTCCACAGAGTCATCTACAGACATCAGCGTCTGGAGCCTCTTCCTGTGCAGGTAGTTGGTGAACTCCATGTGAATCGGCTTCATCGGGCCAGTGTACTGCATGATCCAGTGCTTATCCATGTTTGGTGCGTAGTTATAGCTGGGAGTTCTGCGTGAATAAGCACAACATGCTACTGTGAGGAAAACATGCACCTGTCTGCCATTTCACAAGCACTTGCGGTTGTTGGAGTTGCCTGTTGTATAACATACTTGACAAGCATCAATAACAGCAGTCGCCCTCCCCCTCCACGGAAACGTACTAATTCTCCTCGCTAGGTGTTTTTCTTGGGCTCGCTCTCCATCTCTCCTCACACCATGCTGAGAGTCTCAGGGTTTCTTGGCAGCATTTAATCATTTGAGGGTTGGCACATGCATAAGAAAAATAATAGCTTCCCCAGCCTTCGGGCCCAAAATAAAGTTTGTAATAAGTCCAGCAACGATAGGGCTATAACTCATTTGCATTTGAAGTGGAGAATAAAAAGCTGGGTAAACAAGAGGCCACGGACTTGTTTGTGGAGCTAAGGCTACGGAGATGGCCACCTGTTGACTGCAGTTGGCCTCTCTCCACAGCTGAAAGACATGGCCTTCCTTCGCTTTCCAGACCAGACTCTTGTGCCTAGTGTCATAATGAATGATGGCCACAGGAAAGCTCCGTTCTGTCTGAGTGGACGGCTTCTGCCCTCTCCTCCTCAGTCCGCCTTTGTCCGCTCGCTGAACTCTTCACCCAGCTAGTGAGGCACACTAATATACCACACAAAGAAACCTGTCTCTTCGCATAGGTAGAGCAAATTTGGAATTTGGAGGTCCAAGGATGGAACTAGTCCAGATTCGACACCGGTCACAAAGCAGGGTGGAGAACGTTTGTCTTTGAGATAACATATGCGTGTAGTTTTTGCTATAGCACAGGAAACATCACGTGTTTCAGAAATCCCCCTCAATACTCTTTCATTCTATGTGATGATAAAATGTTACTGGGGGGGGGGAAATACATACTTTGCCCATCAAATTTATCGCATGGCAATGCAGATTTTATGCATTTGAGATAATTGGTATCAATTACCACATTAAAAAGTAGTCAACAAATTAAATTACTATTATTTTACTTCTATAATATATTATTCTAATATATTTATATTACTAAATATAAAAAACTAATACAGTCAAAGTATAGTCTATAAAATAAATATAATAAAATATAAATAATTACGTTATTTATTAATTTAGATATTTTACATAAGTAAAATATAAATAAATAGGTAAAATATAAATAAAAGTAAACAAATGCTTATTTAAAAATGTATGTATACATTATAACTATAGTAAAATATATATGTAAAACAAATACACAAAATAAACTTGTAAAATATAAATAAAGTACAGTATAAATAAAAATAAAGTATATATAAATTAATAAAGAAAGAAAGAAAGACATAAGTAAAACATAAAAAATTTAAAAAGTAAAATGTAAAGTAAAATAAATAAAAGTAAATAAATCCTGAATTAAAACATGTATTTATATATTATAACTTTAGTAAAATATATATGTAAAACAAATACACAAAATAAACTTGAAAAATATAACTAAAATACATAAGTAAATAAAAGTATAAAAAAATTAATAAATTAAGAAAGAGAGAAAGAAAGAAAGAAAGAAAGAATGAAAGATATTGACAGAAAGAGATTGAAAGAAAGAAAGAAAGTTCTTGAAGCTATTTTTTTCTTCACTTTTTCTGTATTTACCTCCCTATATTTGGTGGAGCACCTTATTTGTGTTTTTTGGATATGTGTGCTTTTGCTCATTTTTACGCTGATGATATATAAACCCCAAAAAGTGTCTGAAACACTGCTGCATCGCTCCAGAGTGCAACCTGCGCCTGCCATCTGTTTCCCTGTTCATTTGGCACAACTTGCCAGGCAACCCTTTCGGCACCAGAGCGACTTTGCCAGCCGATGTGAACCTTGGGGTATCCAAGTGTGATCCATTCAGAGCCCATGCACTTAAAAAGATATTAATAACACAAAAGGGTCTTCTAAGACAATGCATTCCCCAAACCTACATACTGAAAGGCATGATTGATATGAGAAGAGCCAGAATGTTGTGTAGGAAGACGGGCTGAAAGAAATGGACAGGCCCGAGGGACAAAAGTGCGATGTCGCCCTGACCAGGATCCTGACATGCCTGGGATGTTAAGGACTTGGAGATGGATGGCCTGTTGCCACAGCGCTGTTTGTGGAATAGGAACCTAGCCACGAAACTGATGATAGTGCAGTGAACCCATCAAGGTCTTGGCTCCGGAGTGAGAACCATAAAAATCTCATGCCCCATCATCTTACTTGGCATGTGCCAGAACTTTACTTGGATGATAAATCACTTTAGTTTCATGGTGGTAGTGTCGAGTGTGAAGTGCATTTCAGTGCACTGTCATCTCTTAAGAGTCTAATTTTAATGGCATATCCAAATATATGAGGCCACAAAAATTCCTAAAGCTACAAGCTTATATTTACCAGCAAGCCAAATTATAATGGTTTAAAATTTATAGGAAAATTATCTGCTTGGAATGCTACTGTTCTACTAAAAAATGTGTCCCTTGGAATATCCTATAATAAATACATACAGAACAATAAAAATATCTAGACTCAACAATTCGAATGCCAGTGTCTATTCCAGCAGGGCTTGGCTCTCGGACAGGATAGACTGGGTTCAGTGGAGTTCATCGTTGTCGCTCTAGCAGAGTGTAACTGAATGTTCTGGGAGTCACTCACATGTGCTGGGAAGAGTTTGGGAAGAGCTCGGAGAACTGGGGAGCTGAATCCTCCGGGCCGTGAGGTGCTGCATGACTGATCACCATCATCACTGGCCGATGCGGGTACATGCGCTTGGACATTCGGAAGTAGTTGATGCTGTCGTTGGTAATCAAATCAGTGAAGTAGTCCTGGAACGGGAAGAAAAAAAAATCATGCATACATAGTGAATGCTCTCCACATGGATATGCTTTCTTTCACAGCTTGAACAAATAAAGCAAGGGTCAATGACATGATTTATTTATTTTTTGGTCCAGATCTATTTATTTATATTTTGGAATTTATTTGAATTATTATTTTATATTCATTTGTATTTTTATTTGAATTTTAAAAAATTTGTTTATGAACATTTTTAAAACAATTTAAAAATTTGAATTAATTATTTATAAACATTTAAATTGCAATTCATACATTTTGACTTAAATACACTGATTCTTTGATAAGTATGCTTTTAATGTATAAATTTAAATTAAATTTGATATTTTGGGGGCGGGCATAAAGTCAGGTCAAGACTAAATAACTGTCCGGATTTCTTAAATGAAAAAAAAAAAAAAAAAGCCTCATTAAAAAGAAAAAAAAAATCTTGGGAAAAAAACAAGCAAACAAACAAAAAAACAACAACAACAACAAAAAACAAGTGGTTTGACAATTTTTATATTTCTTGGAAATATTTTAACAAAATTGCCTCACAGCTTCAGCTTATTAATATTAAAAAAAAAAAACTTTGGTAAGCCAAATCAACCTTATGGTTTACAACTAACCAAAAATATTATTATTAGACCCTCAAAATTGTGCAAATCTGATATAGATCATTTAAAATATTAATATTTAAAAAAATTACATTATAGTATTAATATTAAAATATGAAATTATAATATTAACATCTAGATAATTATTTCTGGGTGTAAAATATCACGTGCAACTTCCTAAAAACATTCCTGAACTCATATTTGTACCCTCAACAATAGAACTAATGCCATGATGCTCACAAGTACTAAGCACAACAAGGGCGTTGACGGCTTCACTCAATGTTAACAGGGTCTTGGCCTCCATGAGTCTGGTGTTATGACAACACTGAAGTCTCAATCTTACTGCTATGACTATGAGGAAGCAGCAGGAATGTGCACAAGGGCTTGTGGGTAAAAATCACATGATGCTGAAGCTGTAAGCCCTTTGATGGCACTGCTCCTGGTCTGGGCTGGTTGTGGGAAAGTCTCCGCACCCCCCTCTACCCTCCCCATCGCTAAAACATGCAGCTACCAGCTTCTGTGGGAGTGAAAGTCTTGTGGAAGTTATTGTTTAGAGACGTGCTCAGTCGACCTTTTTCCTCTGCATTACAGCAAAATATATCCATGTCATGTCAGGGTCTCTGTTGTACAACTAATTGAACTAGCACGTTTGTTTATATTGGAAAACTATACTGTATCATCTTGAATGTTTCAGTAGCTATTTATTTAGATTTTAATTTTAGAATTTAACTTATACGCAAAACTGGAATAACGCATAAAACATTTGCGAATAAAGCACCGTTTCCATCCGAGTCAAAGAGAACAAAATCGTCACTTCCTGATACACTGGCACTAAATAAATCTAAGAAAACTAGGAGAAGCCACTGAATATAATAATTTTCATATGTAATAAATTACTTGCGCTTCAGAGAGAGCAGACGTTGCACAATAAATGCGGTCATTGCTTTTAGAGGTGGATGCCTGCTGTTTGGGAACGCACATTATAGTATTAATATTAAAATATGAAATTATAATATTAACATCTAGATAATTATTTCTGGGTGTAAAATATCACGTGCAACTTCCTAAAAACATTCCTGAACTCATATTTGAAAAAAAAAAACTTATACGCAAAACTGGAATAACGCATAAAACATTTGCGAATAAAGCACCGTTTCCATCCGAGTCAAAGAGAACAAAATCGTCACTTCCTGATACACTGGCACTAAATATCTCTAAGAAAACTAGGAGAAGCCACTGAATATAATAATTTTCATATGTAATAAATTACTTGCGCTTCAGAGAGAGCAGACGTTGCACAATAAATGCGGTCATTGCTTTTAGAGGTGGATGCCTGCTGTTTGGGAACGCAATCATGTAAGACAGTAAATATACAGAAATACTTTGACGACAGACTTTGCTCAGGTATTTCAGAACGACCAAAACAACATATAGATGCTGTGAACGAGATCGGTGCTGTTTGGGAACGCAGTCATAATTATACAGAAATACTTTGATGACAGACTTTCCTCAGGCATTTCAGAATGACCATAACAACATATAGATGCTGTGAACGAGATCGGACCGCTGGTTAGTCAATTTATCCCGTCTCATATAGCGCAAAGTCACATGGTGGAATTTATTCGGTAAATGTGTTTCCATCGTAGTTTATGCGCATTTTTTCTATCGGATAAAAGGTTTATCCTACTCAGTTGTGCGCATAAACTACGATAAACCAAAATGCGCATAAAAATAGGTGGATGGAAACCTAGCTAGTGAAATAGAATCTGAATGTACCTAACACAACTAATGCATTAAAGATCTTGGACTGAATGAAGGCACAAACTGTGCCTTTGCAACACATTTTTATTGATTTACTTGTTGACTAAACAGGACTAAAAGGCTACAGCTAATCTGAAACGTGTGACATTCTTCACCAATGAGAATAATTTTTGGTGCAAAATTTGGGGCAACATTTCTGGCCAAGATGTTCTTCTAAACCTTCATAGCTCTGCCTACCTATTGATTCCTTAAATCTCAATTTAAACAGGAACATAAGTGTTCCCAACTAAGGGTTTCCAGGAACCACTTGAACACTAGCCACAAAATTTCTGCAAACCTCATGGAGAAACATTCAGCCTCTTGTGCCTCTCCACTTGTGGATAACTTAACACCTTCATCAAATTCAACAAGCAGGTTATTGACATCCAAGTAACAGTCCAAATATTTATTTGTTCATCCCTTAGACTGCCTCCAATCCAATTTATGAGATGGTCCTCACTGCAGAACACAAGATCCAGTGGGCGTGGTTGTATCCAGATACAACTCCTCCCACCTTACATATACCTAAACCTACCCGTCTCCATCCCCTGATCCCTAAACCTACCAATCTCCACCCCCTAGATGTGGATCCAACCACGCCCCCTTGATCTTGTGTTCTGCAGTGAGAGGCTACTGCAATTTATGCCCAAACCATGAAACCTCAGCACAAATTCCACATTCCCCAAAAACATGCTACCTGAGAGAGACTCCAAAAGCTTGTTTTGACAGCAGCTCCAAAACACTCTAGAGATGGAAGGTGGCCTTGTCAAATTAAACTCTTTAAACTTTGATTTGATCACTTGGCTCTTGCACAAGGATGGCAAAAGTCATTATCACTTCACATCTAGCCATACAATGCATTGTAAACCATGACTATGTAGCTATCATATAGGGCTGGGTAAAAATTTAGATTTCTCGATTTTAATCGATTGTCATTTTACGAAATTATATAGATTCTTAAATCCCAAGAATCAATTAGTCTAGCCTGTTTTCAGTTAATGAATGGAACATTGTAACACGCTTTTCCCATCCAGTAAATCGCAATAAGCTTTGTGCTTTGATACTTTTGATATGAAACCAAGTCTCAGGTTTCAAATTCTGTCCATTTAATTGCAGTATTCAAACAATAAATGCCGTTTTGGCGCTGTTGAATGTAGAGTTACAGATCAATGTAGCGCCTCAGTTCAAGAGAAGCGGCAGAGCGAAATGCACGTGAATGATAAGCTCCTCCGCTTTAATACCAGTTTCAGCATGAAATAAACGAATAAACATCAGAAGGCATGTTAAAAGGAGTACAGCTTACCGAAATCCGTATCCTGTCTCAACCGCGAAAAGACGTCAATATAAGTTTGTAAACAATCAAATAAACATAAGGGTTAGCACTACACACAGTATCAGTCTAAGATGTGGAGACACTGTATTGCTGTATTTTTGTAACATGTTTTTTTTTTTTTTCTTCTCTGTGTGTATTAATTGGTATGGGTTGTATATGCTATCTGGTTGTTTTTAAATTTGGACCTCTTTTAAAAGTTTGACAATGAATGTCACCGTAACCTCACATTTACCTACAATTACCATTTACCATAAACTCGTTAGTCAGCTAGAAACATTTACTTTATTTATGTTTGAATAAATCCATTTATAAAAAAGTTTTTTATGACAGCAACCATTTAAATGTTCATATTTAAAAAAAAATGAACTGGAGTAGAAATATAATTATGTAATTGTAACTTTATTATTTAAAAAAAAAAACTTTGAGTGTAATTTAAGCATTTGTATACAAATTAGTTAATTTTAACCTTCAGCATTATAGTAATGTAATACCAACTGACTCGTGTATATTTTACAGCATTCATTTGGCATGTACTGTACCTGATATACCTCCAAAATAATAGATATTGCATCAAAAGCTTGTGAATTTGGCATACTATTTATACGCAAAAATGGACTTTGGCGTGCATGATACGCAAATTGGTAGGTTTAGGGGTGTGAGGTAGGTGCGTATTATATGTACGCTAAAATGCGTATAATATGCACACCAAACACATACATATCGTATGCACGCCAAAGTCAGTTTCTGCGTATAAATAGTATGTAATATATATATATATATATATATATATATATATATATATAAAAATTGTGCTATTGATACATTTTTATGAGACTGGGCTAAATTTTGTGCTAAAATGTTGACTTAATTAAATTAATTAAATATGTAAAATTACATAATATTTACTGCAGAAACACTAGTAGAAGTATACCAGTCTGAACATAGTCCAAATGTCCAACCTGTCAAATCAGCAGAACAGAACATAATTGTTTCCAAAAGGAACTTTGCCCCAAGGACAATGTCTCTTTTTTTTTCAGTGTAACCACCTGATGATACACAAGACACCGATGTAACTCCCCATGCCTCCTTTAAATTTAACCACATTCCATGTAAAGTCAACCGACCCAAATCTTATATGTAATTAGAGGCCTGAAATTAGTCGCGAACAGACCATACAATTGAACATACACTGAAAATTGAGTTTAAAAAAAGCCCTTGGCATGGTGACAGGACTGTGAATTTATGTGACCAAGCGCACTTACCTTTGCATAATCCGCGCCGTGCTTCTCCTTGTTCCCATTCCGACAGACGGTGTAATTATAAAAACGGGAATTTTTGATCAGCCCCACCCATTCGCGCCACCCAGGTGGGATGTAGCTGCCGTTGTACTCATTGAGGTACTTCCCAAAGAAAGCTGTGGGACAAAATAAAGAAAAACATATAAACTTGAATCTGTGTTCAGTGAGGCAGACACAAAGACTAAAATTATCATTTACGACAAGCGTCTCAAAACACTGCCTTTGAACAGTACCTGTAAATGTCTGTCTCTGCATTGTATACATGTCTCCTCTACCCTTTCCCATCTAAGCTAAGCCAAAACATCTTGCAAAAGAGCCGGGCAAACAGCCAGTCTGCCCTGGAGAGTTAATTGTAGACTAACACATCAGCTGGAAACCACAAGCAGTGGTGAGACCTGAACCCCTGTATTCAGGGTCAGAACGTGCTGCCACTCAAGAAACACAGCACAGGGCTGCTGGCACGTTTAGCTCCATGTTTAGCTTCCAGAAACCAGACAAATTGAAAATTCCTGTAAAACTGTTATTTGACCTCTAGGAACAAACGTGAAAGCAAAATTCCAGTTTAATTGCAGAACACTGTCAGACAAATACATTTCCAGGGTAAAGTGGGAAACTGTTGCATCACTAAATATATTATTTTTGTATTTTTTTTAATAATAAAAAAAAAACAATAATAATAATAACAATAATTTATTATTATTATTAATAATAATAATAATTATTATAATTATTACTATGATTATTATAATAATTTATTATTATTCATATTTAGGCCTATTATTAATAATTTATTATTTAAAAATAGCATATATAACTACACACAGTGTGTATATATTGTTTTAATTGTATACATTTTCCCCTGCAAAATTACAGTGTATGAAACTAAACTGGTCTGTTATTTTTAATATTAATATTTAAACTGATGGCTTAATATAACACAAAAAAGCCAATAATGCACACTAACACTCAAAACATTCAAAAGTCTGAATATTTCTTTTATTTAGCAAGGATGCATTAATTTTATTAAAACTGACAGACTTTTCCTATTGTTCCTATTGTTTTTCCTTTTTAATTAAATAAAATGCAGCTTTGGTGAGCGTAAAAGGCTTCTTAAAAAAACTTACATTTTAAAAATCGTACCGACCCAACACATTTGAGCGGTAATACATGGCTCTTTGCCTTAATTGTATTGGGTAGTGAACAACATCCATGAAACAGGACATGATGGAAGCAGGATTCAACTCAGATCAAGCAGGTCAGAATGAGTTATCTGTCTCTCTTTTGGTTTCTTACCTGTTCGGTATCCAGTGTTGTTGAGATAAACGGCAAAGGAGCGCGGCTCATGCTGAGCTTGCCAGGAAGGCGAGGAACAGTTCTCGTTATTGGTGTATGTGTTGTGGTTGTGGACATACTTCCCAGTCAGCATGGAAGAGCGTGATGGACAGCACATGGGCGTAGTTACAAACGCATTTGTAAATGAGGTTCCACCGTCCTCCATGATCTTGCGAGTTTTGTTCATCACCTGCAACGAGCCTGACACAGCAAGCGAGACAAATGCATGTACAGTAAATCAGTTTAAGAAGTTCAAACCTCAACATGTCTTATTATAAAACATGCTGTCAAAAGTAGCCTCTAAAAGTGTTCGATGTGGAGAACGATCCCTGTAGTTCTGTGGCAATGCAATGACTGGCTGTGGTTCCAGTACTAAGGCCCTTAGCCTCTCAGATGTCTGAGGGAAGCCATTAAATATTAAAAGAGGAAATAAGTCAAACCTGTGATGACAGTCTGAGATTGAGACCTATTGGATGTTACGTTCTCAGAGGAAGGAACCTGATCCAGTGACAACAGTTAGGCTTACATTATGGGACAGATACCAAGAGAGACTTGGGTGGCAGATCGAGAAGACTAACAAGCAAGCAAGCTAATGTTCCTAGGAGTGAAGTCCGAGAAGTCTCAATGCTTTTCTTTCCAAGGCTGAGTTAATAATGAACAACTTAAATAGATCTCCTAAAAAAAGTCGAGTGACAGTCCCGCTGAAAAAACCTGCAGAGACTGAATGCTGGTGTTCCCACAAGGTGTTTTAAAACTAGCTAAAACCCTAAATAAACTTTACTTAACCAGCTAATCAAAGTCTTCAGGATTACCAGGCAGATGTGTTGAAGCAAAATTTTGCAGGAACGTGACCCTCCAAGATCAAGATAGGACATTTCAGACATTCGTCAGCCATTATGTTGGTAAACCAGCATCCTCAGCTCATCAAGTTGGTTATGGTGATCCACCAGCTAGACCAGTGCTACCTTAAACCAGCATGGAGCAGTATGGAAAATCATGCTGGTCTAAGATGGTCTTGTCAGTTTTTGTCTTGTTTTCCAAACAGATATGTAAACATTCTGAATTCAAAATGCATTTACTTGAGTAGCAAAATTAATTGCTTTCCGAGAAAAAAAAAAATCAACAAAAATAAGTGAATTCATGCCTAAAACAAGAAAGAAATATCTGCCAATGGGGTAAGAAAAATACACATAATCCAAATGGAAAAGAACATTACTTTTCTTACCCCAGTGGAGGATCATTTTCTTGTTTTATATAAAAACTCGACTGATTTTGATACATTTTTCTGAAGAAAAAAAAAAACTTACATCATCTTACATCATTTTGCTTCTCAAGTAAATGTATATTGATTTAAGAATGTTAAGTAAGTAAAGTAAGCCATAATGGAAATGGTCAACAAATACTACTTTAAACATAAAACAAAACAAAACAAAATCTCACAAATATTAAAAAAATACACAAATCTCACAAATATAAGTGCAAATTCAAACATCCAAATCAGTGAGGGGAATAATAAAAAAAAAGGTTTGGTCTACAGTTCCATTCCCATGTTTCTCCAAGTATCATTATGGTTTTTGAGGATCTCTACAGTAACTTTCCAGACTGCTTGCTGATTCATAACTATTGCATGCCGAGCACTGACAAAGCCTCAAGAGATGTCTCCACCTCATTCGTCTGCGGAACAGATGGGCCATTAATGATGAATTGCATCTGGTATACTCACCCAACTCCACATCCTGGTCATCTGTCATGATGAGTATGATGTTGGGTCTGATGTTCCGTCGGTCACCTTGAACCCGCCCACGCAGGCCTTGACCACGGGTGGTGAAACCAAAGCAGACCAGTGGGGCGGCCAGGACCATCATCCAGGCCAGGCTCACCAGCTGCATCATGGGACTGTTTGAACACGAATCAGAAGGCTGGAATCCTCACAACGTAATCTGTTTAGAAAAGAGCAAAGAGATGTTAATGCTTCGGGGTTTCTAAAAAGGTCAAAACAAATGTTACTATAGTTAACAGAAATTGGAGAGACTAAAAAGAACCACTTTTCCTTCCTTTGCAAGACAAATGACAACTCCAGATCCTTGTCTACGACTTCTAATAAATCATTTGCATCTGTTTTTAAGCTCAGTGTCATCTATTTTCACATCCATCCACAAGAACAGCAACAGACCATAGAAAATATCAAACCTTGCACTGAAAATAAACATAAAACACCCTTTTAAAGGAATCAACACGTGCTTTAAAGTTCCAGCATATTTCCAGGATGTCCGCCCACTAAAATAAACATACAAAAAGATACTTCAGCTTAAAAGTTTGGCGTAAAATTGCAACTTAATGAATATAAAAACACTCCATAACCCTACCTGTAAAGTTCTTAGCTTAGAAGTGTCACATGTGGCGTCATACACCCAATATCTTTACTTCAGTCCTGCACTCATATTTACAGACACTTTCTTGTAGTCAGAAAGGCCTGAGTGTCTCTCTCTGTGTGTGCAGACAAGCCAGCTCTTTCTCTCTAATCAGTCACACTCCTTCAGTACCACTGAAGCCTTGCTATTGGCTATTAAGAGCTGCACCGTCCCACACCCAGCCAATCACGTTTTATGGCCAGGTTGTCATTCAAAAGGCCCAAAGCTTGTGACCCCTAGCGGACACCCGGTGGGAATTACAAAGCCAGTGAAGGCAGTACGGGGGAGAGGGTTCCACTACATTAACCCTTGTGCTGCGGTCGCCAGTCGCAGGTTTACACACTGATCCCTGTACACGGCATGACATTCACTCTACACCAGCAAAGATCTTTCATATTCCAGACATGCTTCATTTCATAAAAAGTTAAGTCTTGTAGTTGTTGTACTAATGCATAAGGTAAAGTAATTTTTCACATTTTAATTTTCCTGACGATTGGCTGCATGCATAAAAGGGGGTTTGATTGATATACCCGTCCAATTTCTTTGCGAGTTTATTGTATAAACCTTATGGAGGACCATATTGCTTGTGGCCCCATGCTGATCTTTGTCTCTGATCAATGAGCTGTTAAACAGTATGGCCATTTATGCACCTGTGCCTCATCGCATGCCATTCATTTGGCCTGATAATTTTGCTTGGCAATGTAAATGACCCGACTTCAATAGTCATTTCATACTTGTGACAAAAAGACCAGTGAGAGTCAAGAAATAAATGAGTAAATTAGAGTCAGCACTGGTTTTACAGTATCAACTCCAGGCCAATGTGTCCACATATTCAAACTAACAATACTCCATTTGACAGATGGAAAATCCCTTGAGAATTAGTGATGTGAATCAAAATCATATTATGAGAAAGCAAGGATGTAATCATGTTTTGGACATTGGTGGGGACAAAACCAAATGGGTGTTGTCACAAATGTAACAGAAATGGAAGAATTTAAAAGGAATTTAAAGGAATCAAGAAGAAAAAAATAAATAAAAGAACTGCAATTTATTGCAAACTTTCTGCAGAAAACGATTTTATTTTAAAATATGCACTTTCTTAACTCTTTTTAATGCTTAAAATGGATCTGTTAATGTTTCTTGTCTCATCAGATTCAGTTATGAATTGCTTTACATGAATCATGCAAAAGATCAAAGTTATTTTTAATTGAAAATAGCAAAATTTGACAATCAGAAGTCAATACTTTGCGTTACTGAATATTATCGTCGGTTGTTGAACATGAACATTGAGAAACTCTAGCGGCTTGTCATTTACTTACACTCATAACATTCACAAAAACATTTATGCTGTTATCTATCGATCTCCAAAAATGAGCATAAAATTACTCCATACGACCTGAGTGCTATATTTAACGTCTTTTGAAGCCATATGATAGCTTACAAGTACTTCTACATTGCTTTTATAGTGCTTTTTTGTAGCTTGACAGATGTGATCGCTATGAACTTTCACTGTAAGGACTGATACCAATGAGAAAAAAATAACGTCATATGGATTTGGAACAACATTAGGGTGAGTAAATAATGTAAATTTTCATTTTCAGTGGGTGGACCACAAGACGTCCGATAAGAAGGAGCTGCTGAACGGAAAACCATGTGCTTGCCCTCCTCCATCATTGTGCAGATGATGGGCTGCCTCTCAAATGGGGCTCTAAGTGCTTTTTTGGACAGCGTGGATTTCAGACAGGCAACATGAGGGATAGTCGGTCCAGTCACCCTGACAGCACCGTGCAATATCGATCTCCAAAAATGAGCATAAAATTACTCCATACGACCTGAGTGCTATATTTAACGTCTTTTGAAGCCATATGATAGCTTACAAGTACTTCTACATTGCTTTTATAGTGCTTTTTTTGTAGCTTGACAGATGTGATCGCTATGAACTTTCACTGTAAGGACTGATACCAATGAGAAAAAAATAACATCATATGGATTTGGAACAACATTAGGGTGAGTAAATAATGTAAATTTTCATTTTCAGTGGGTGGACCACAAGACGTCCGATAAGAAGGAGCTGCTGAACGGAAAACCATGTGCTTGCCCTCCTCCATCATTGTGCAGATGATGGGCTGCCTCTCAAATGGGGCTCTAAGTGCTTTTTTGGACAGCGTGGATTTCAGACAGGCAACATGAGGGATAGTCGGTCCAGTCACCCTGACAGCACTGTGCAAACACTGGCGCTGTTTAGACAAACCCCTGGTGCTGGGGATGGCAGGGTCCAGTCAGACCAGAATGTGCATGCACACAAACACACAGTATGACTTCCAGATCTCAACATCTTAAGGCCCAGAAAATATATAGAGAAGTCCCTCAAACGTTCATTCATACGTATACTTTCCATCATCTGTTTTAGATCTACATGGTGGAAATTAGATTGACAATTCAGCATCAGTATTCAATTTAAAGTGCTAAATGAGTCCTTTCACTGACATTCTCATGTGACACTACAAGATGAACTATTGTGTGATGTGCCTCCAGCAATTTGAAACTAACATTAATAACGCCAGCCAAAAAAAGTCCACACATAAAATGAAGAGCCAATACTGTGCTATTTAGCTCAATCATGTGTTCCTCAAGCAACCCTGAATTAAACTGTCTCTGCCCTTAAAGATGACACATTCACCCTCATTCCAGCACTGTAATTTTAGAATACAGTCAACCCAAAATAGCTCTTCTATTTTCTTCCCTGGAGGGATAAAGGGTTGTGAATTATAATTTAGTTTTAATTACCCTCATTACTGTGAAAATGTGTTCCAGTTGGTGGCACTGGCAAGAACATAAACCACTACTTTTCACTGATGCGCGAGTCCTCCACTGACCCTTTGCCTACGAAAAACAGACCTGCTATCCTCTATTTCCATGAATAATGGGAAACAAAGCTTCCACACTTCCATGACTCTCTAACACTGAATCAGCACTGGGCTGGTTTGCAAAAATGATGTGATGTTTGTGTCTGAAGCCTTCAGCCGAAAGCCTGGCGACTTCCTCTGGCTTAGTCGAACTGTTATTTGGATAACGTGCTTGTAATGTGCAGAACAAAAAGTACTTCCAATTCACTCGCTTTAAACATTATGCAACTATTTAAAAGTCGGTTATACTGAAGTACAGTGAGATATAGTGCCCTGATCACTAAATTGAACTGAAGTTATAATACTGCAATGAACAAGTCAAGAGGATATTTTTGCTAGACCATGCTGTTTTGAAAAATTAAGGATGCACTGCTATTAAAATTCTTGATAATATTAAGCCAATGATTTTACCTCTATTCTGGGTTCAAATTAAACAAAAAACAAAACAAAAAACAAAGCACAAAACAGAACACAAAACAAAAACAAAACAAAACGCAAAAACAACAAAAATACAAATTAAAAGCAAGATTAAAAACAAAACAAAATGAAAAACCCAACAAATTAAAAACAAAAACAAACAAAAAATAAAAATCTATATTTTTAAATGCCAGATATTTAACATATTTCATTCTTTTACAGATTACATTTGTGTATTATTAAAAAGTACCGTAAATTTAAGTGAGGACTAGATGACAACTAAGTAATCTAATTAAAAGAACATGCACAGAAACATACTGTCCGATAAAATCCTTAAAATAAATACATTAAAATGCATTTATAAACATATTTATAATAATTTTATAACACAAACCATAGTAAATTAAGACTATTTTAAGTTGTGGTTCAGGGTCTGCACACATCTGCTGAACGCCATGCCTTTGTAGACCTACATTGCTGAAGAACACAAGAAAGCTTTCTTCTGGGTCACAGACAAGCACCAGAGCAAGCATCGTCCCAGCCCTTATTGTTTTTAGGGATTAGATGAAATGACCCAGTAAATTAGCCTCTACTGTACTAATCAGGGCTAAGCTGGGGGAATAATATTTGGGATTTATTAAGAAAAAAAGGCCTCGAAGGTTCAAAGGAGCAAAACAAAAAGGCTACTATTGGACTTTTCAAGCCTGACACACAGCTGCCAAAAAATAGCCCCATATGAAAGAGGCGCAATTTTCAGATTAATGGATGACGGGATCAGGGTCCTTCAATGTGATCCAAAATCTGTACTTTTATGATTTCACTATGCTTTCAGCCCCCTCCATGCATACTAAAGCATCCAGCCCCCCTTCCTAACCACAAAGCGGTGTTTTCTAGCATGTAGTGCTATCAGAGACAGCGGCTCAGAGGTTCTTGGCAAGCAAAAAGCCGCCACTGCTGCCTGTGGTGAAGGCTCAGACCACATACTTTCATGCGCCCTGTACCCCCTTTGACCCACGTGGTAATGTGAGGTGGTTAACCCAAACCTCAAGCACCTGAACTCTCAAAAGACTCTCGGAAATGAGTGCCGCCGAATTCACAGGCTTCACAGGTAAGGATAGATGAGTTCCTGAGGAAGAGGCCGCACGATTAAGATCAGAATGTCATGACCCGGCACATTCTTTCCAACCGCGCTGGGTTTTATAACAT